TGGAAGCAAATTGCCAGGTCTTTCTCCTGTGGAATTGCTGAGAGGGTTCAAACTGCCAACCTTTCAGTTAGCAGCCAAGAACTTAACCTTTATGCCACCAGGGCTCCTTAAACAAAAGAACTAGATTTTTATATTAAGGATATAACAACAGTCACAAATATTTAGGAGGTCATATATGCTTAAGTATCTAAAAAAAAAATTGTATTATAGATATTCTTAATCAGGTTATTACATGAGTTGTATTAGTGAAAAATTATGCCATAACAGGAAATTTTTTTATATATAAGCCAAAAAAGTAATATTTGTAATTTCTGTCTGAGTCTCTCTTAAGTATGTCTTTTAAATTTTTAAGAGTGCAAGAATATCCTGTGTGTCAGTTTTCATACTCCTTGAACAGTCCCTTTCTTTCCAAAAGTTGATTTATGAAACAGATAATAGCCAACCACTTTTTATCTACAACTATTCTTCTGATCATTATAACTGGTACTTCTGCCTCTTATATTATAACCGCCTCTTCTTGATAACGATGTAATTATTTTTGGATAACTAGTCCAGATCTGTTAATATTTAGAAATAGCATGACGATTTTAATGCAGTAATTTTGCCTTATAGCTCTCACTTATGAGTGGAATGTTCTCCTGTTGAATTATTACACTAATGTCACTAAAAAATATTTCCTTTGATTCAATACTACTCAGTGAATTTTCCATTTTGTTAGAAATTGGCTTTTGTTAATAATTATAATCCTTCCAGTGCCAGTAATATCAAAAATGAAACACATATGAAGAATTATCCAAGTAGGTTATAAATTAGACAAAATGAGGAAAATGTTCATCTCTATAGATTAGCCATGAAACGTGTTTGGCTAGTTTAATGGAAAGTTATTTTCTAGGCAAAGGAAAGGAAAAAAAAAAAAGATATTTCAGAACACAGAGATTTAACTGTAACCAATCAGTTATGTCAAAACTTGAAATTTCTGGAGGAAAAATAAAACCTTAACTCAGATTTTTGGTAGAAGTAAAGATTAGCAATGTCACCTTTTAATTTTAAAAAGAAAAGTTTTGCTCAGGTTGGTTGGGTTGAGAGGACAGGAGATTCAAAAGAAAATTAGACCAATTTTTGTAGTAATCATTTCAATAAACTAGAGAAATATAGTTTATGTAAATATACAATAGCCATAATAGACATTTCAGATTATATATTCATATAACTTTTCAAGAAAAAAGTTATAGAAAGATGGCATGGCTTTGTTATGAATTTTCTTTCTTTCAATTTCCTGCTTATTTTCTCAATGCCTGGTTATTATTTAACTGTTGAAGAGTGAGTTGAGATATGGACTGATATACCTTTTTCATCTGTTCAAAACATGTGTTTGAGTCTACTATATGGCGTACACTGCTGTTGACACTGGAAAACACTGACGAATAAAACAAATGCTATGCTCTCATGGAGCGTACATTCTAAAGAAGTGGTCAGGCAAAATAATAAATATATAAGCTTTCCAGTTAATGATGATATTTGTGGAGTACGTGATCATTACTCATTCTTGATCATTCTATTTTAGCCAAACTGGCTGCATAGTGTTGTTTGAGAATAACCAAGTGCACACTCCACCTTCGGGCCTTTGCACTGTGTTTCCTCTGCCTGGAGCACTCTTCTCCCAGGTATCTTCCCCCATCACTGTCAGATATCACCTTCTCAATGAGGCTTACCCTCACCACCCTATGTTAAATTACAGCTCTCATGCTATCATCCCTCAATGCCCCATCCCTTACCTTGCTCTACTTCTTTTTTTCCACAGCACTTACCACTTTTAACATACTATATAATTCATTTATTATGGTTACTATTCTTTAATGTCTGCTTGTTCTAGACTATGAGACCCATAATAAGGTTAGGGATCAGTGTCTGAGTTGTTCGTTGGATTATTCCAAGCACCTGTAACAGAACCTGATAGAATGTGAGCACTCAATAAACATTTGTTTAATGAGATGAGGTCAGGGAGAGTTTGGGGCAAAAACATAAGAGATGGTTTATATGAAGATCTTTGGCTGCTGTGTAGAGAGTAGCCTACGGGGCTCCGGGGGGAAGGAGAAATAGAGCATCCATTAAGGAAGCCATTGTAGTGTCATTAGCGTGAAGCCATGGTGACGTGACTTGAGTGGTACTTGTGGGGAGGTGAGAAGTGGTAAGACATAACGTATATGAAAATCATTCTATAAGAAAATTATAGTAAAATTTGAACTAAGTAATACTAATAAAGGTTTACAATTACACTGGTAAATCGGTGAATGTCATTTTAGTACTTCAGAACTTCAGACACTGTTTAAATAATTATACAACCTTTAATAGCTATAATGTCCACAGATGTAATATTATTATTTTTATTCTCCAGAGAATAATAATTTTAAATTATTGAAATCTTTACGATGTAGAGATGCATCTGTCTTCTATGTAGAATCTGTGAAAGATAAAAACACATCTTGAAAGAATGTACATTTAACATGTAATTTTTCAAAGTGGCTTTGATTTTTTTAATGCATTTGAAAGAGATTGAATTAAACAGTGTATGATTCTATGGTTAAAATAACAATTTACGTGTGTCTGCTAAAAAAAGAGCATCCTAAATGTTAGGGCTGATTTCATTGACTAAGCCCAGCCACACTGCCTAGCTGGAAGGAGGTTATTTTATGTGGTCATCTGTCTGAAACAGAGGCAGTAATTCAGAAGTCAGCAACAAGCAAGATATCTCAAAGGTTCACCAGGAATCATGTTTATATTAATAAAAGAGACTACTTAGGATCTAATCCCAGAACTAATTTACTCTTGTTTCAGACACAGTTCTAACAGACTTGTTAATATCGGTTTATCAGTCTTTGGTGCAATAAAAGTAACGAAATAGAAATACAGATGGGTTGTTAGAGGTAGGCATGGTGACCTCAGCAAAAGGAGTTGGCCGTGGTGTTTGAGGGAGGATATTTGCCTCAGCCATTCTACCGCTTCTAAAAGTATTGCCATATGACCACATGGGGCACTCATCAAGGATCTTAAGTAAGAGCTAGACATTTGTAAAATGACTCAGTTATGTTCATTGTACTCGACTTTGAAAGGCAATGGACTGTCTAATATGTTCTAGAAACATTTATTTGAGAAATGCTTAAAGTTTAAATGGTTTTGGAATCGGGGATCTTGAATCTTCAGTTATCTTTAAAAAACTAGTTAATTTTAATAGCTCATTCCATGAAGATGCCAGATAAATGAATTTTTCTAGGATGTGGGTTTTAGAGTTAAAACTACATGTTCTAACAAAGGGTAAAACTCTTTGAATACTTTAGACGGTTATGTTTACTAATATTACTAATTGAAAACGATAAAATATCTTTCTAGTCTTTATTACATCATGCATGCAAAAAAAGCTGTCAGTCTCAAGAGAGTGAGCAGTGACTGACTAAAAACTGCAGATAAAAACCACAAGTGGGCTGACTGTGGGGAGTATTACAGGGTCAGTGACCTTGCTACTTCAGGCACTGCAAATATTTTGGCTAAAATTCAACATCACACTTTGTAATTAGAACATTACTACTTTCAGTCTCCAGCCTCCAGCAGCAAAGTCACGCATGTTTGTGGTCTATTTTGTGAGTTCTCTTTGCAATTTGCGCTGCCATCTCTCCTATAAGACACTATGGTAGAAGGTATATACCTCTGTTGATCCGAACAGTGGCAATAGACGAAGGGTAGACTGGCAGTAACCTTCAACTAACTAGTTTTATTTCTTCAAGGATTATCTTTATGCTACTATGCATAGGACATTTCAGTAAAAATAGAAATATGCTAATAACAGATAATTTAAAACTATGAATTATGATAGTCAAGCCTGCTTTAGTTGGGTCAATGGGACCTCAGGGAGACCATTACCGGTCTTCAGAGGGCTCATGAGCTTGACGAAATTATATGCCAGACTCCAAAAAAAATCATTAAAAAACCAGTTTTCAACTATTTGGAAGCCTAAAGAAACGTTCAGCATATGTCCCATCAGTTTCTGAGAACAACGGAGTCCACAAATTTTAGCACTTCTCTTCCTTTGATCCATCGTCAGTTCAATATTTTCCAGATGGCTTAGGCCTTAAATTGAGTTTCATGTGCTAGATAAATGGCAGGCTTTGGAAACAGACTTACTTGGATTTAAATCCTGACTTGACCATTAACTCGCTCTGTAAGCCCAGATAAATTAGTTAACCTCTCAGAGCCTCAGTTTCCTTATATGAAAAATGAGAGCAATGTAAGACCTGCCTGGCAGGGAAGAAGTGAGGGTTAAAGGAGACCATGCAAGTAAAGTGCTTATTTATTAGCACAGTTCCAGACCCATAATAAATAGTGTTACTTCCATAAGCCTACAGTCTTGGAAACCCTGTAGGGCAGTTATGCTCTGTCCTGTAGAGATGCTATGAGTTGGAATTGACTCAACGGCTATGGGTTTTTTTTTTTTTAATTTGCTAAGCCTTAGTGAATCACTAATAAAATATTTAATTTTGAATATCTACTTTTTAATAACACAAATTTAGCACCTAGTGATATTTTCATTATAGTGTAAATCATCACATTTCTAATTCAGCTTTGTCAGTCCTTACAATATTCAAACTGCAGGCACCTATAGCATGATACTGTATATCTAAAGTCATTGTTTTGCGGAAAATTTTATACTTGAGAATTTGCACATTGTGGTGGTTTCGTTTGTTTGTTTTTAAGTTGGTGATTAAAAGAACAAATCTGTTGATTGATGCGCAATAAACCCATTAAAACATCCCACCAGTTTTTCGGCCACATTATGAAATTGAAAAAGTGTATGAATAAAGACAAGTAAATTTACTGAGTGATGACAATGTGAGCAGATAACATCAGTACCAGGGAAATACACAGCAAGTATAGTTGTACAGGCCATTTCTTTTTCCTTATAAGAAAATTAACAAACATGTTTGAAATTTTGCTCTTTTCTTCCATAGCTCTTGTGGTGAGATTTTTGACCAAACGATTCATCTGGGAATATGATCCCACCCTCGGTAAGTTAAAGTTTGTTTCTTACTAATCTCCAATTAAAGTTTATATTAAAGTTTATCTCCCAAAAGAAAGAATGACATTTTTCTGTTGCAACCTTTTTAAACCTCTTGCTGCTGTTTTGGACATACTTTATTGAGTAATGCACAAAGAAGCCCTTTAGGAGGCTGGACATGTGTTTCATGCTGTCTGTGCTTAGAACCCTGCAGGCTTTTAATACGTAGATGAAGAAATGAGGTCAGATTTGAGACAAGGAAGTAGCTACAATATGATACTCTCTCATTAGAAAAACGTGTCAGGTGCTGTCGAGTCGGTTCCGATACTCATAGCAACCCTGTGTACAACAGAATGAAACACTGCCAGGACCTGTGCCATCCTCACAATTGTTGTTGTGCTTGAGTCCATTGTTGCAGCCACTGTGTCAATCCATCTCGTTGAGCGTCTTCCTCTTTTTTTGCTGACCCTCTGCTTTACCAAGCATGATGTCCTTCTCCAGGGACTGGTCCCTCCTGATAACATGTCCAAAGTATGTGAGACAAAAAATCTCACCATCCTTGCTTCTAAGGAGCATTCTGGCTATACTTCTTCTCAGACAGATTTGTTCGTTCTTTCGACAGTGCATGGTATATTCAATATTCTTCGCCAACACCGCAATTCAAAGGTGTCAGTTCTTCTTTGGTCTTCCTTACTCATTGTCCAGCATCATTCTAAGAGGAGAAAGAGGATAGAACAGCATGCTGAGAGTGTAACAGTAAAATAAAACTTCTGCATATTGAATTTGGGAAAGCTTTACAATAAATAATGTTTCTCCCCTCTTCTCTCCAATGAATCTAATTTAAACCTGTTTAAAAAAATAGAAGAAGCAAATATTGGTATCTGTGGATCTTGAAAGAATAATGTTGATGTATGAAGCATTCATCATGTACTTTTTTCACAGTCCAAAACAGAGCTCTTAATAGAAATCTATTTCACTATCATCTTCAGGACAACCCTGGAAATCATTGAGTTCTAAAGTAAGATTTTTACTCTAAACTGAGCCTTTGAATTTTTGTTGGTTTCTCTAAGAGCCCCAGTTGGTTTTGTAAAGGGCAACTTTGAAAGCTCAGAAGAAGAGGGAAGGACTATGTCCTTTCATTACCTAGCAAGGTGCCCCAGGCTGAGCTGGACTTAGAATAGTGAAATGGGCAAAATCTACCCCAGTTGGTTTTTGTTATCACTCCCAGGGTACATATGTTCAGTTTAAAAGGGAACTTTCTTTCCTCTTGTTCCTTCTGTCATTGCTTTTATTCATTCATTTGAAAAAATAGTTCTTGAATGCCATCTGTGTATCTGATTGCTCTGGGTGCTGAGGATAAATCAGTAGGCAGAAAGAGACAATGCCTGCTTCTTTTTTTTTTTTTTTTTGACCTTGCAGTATAGTAAAGAGAAAAGAGTCAATTAAAAAATAAATATATGTCAGATGGTGATAAGTGTTATGAAGGAAAACTGAACAGTGAAGAGGATAGAGAATGATGTTATAGTTTGAGATTTAATTTTATTTAATCTATCAGAAAACTTAGTGAAAAGAACAGGACAAGGATCCAACTTTTTTTTCTTTTCAAAGTAATTGACCAATTGTCTTACTATTATTTATTCAATAGTCCCTACCTTTGTCCGTTGGTTCCAATGCTGTCTTTTTCATATGTTGGATCATTTGCACTACGATATAGTTCTAGATTTGCCTTTCACATCCGACATCACAACACAGTTGGATAATTGTACGCTCTATAGAGCACTTTGCAACCCGGTAGAGAAAGTGTTCCTTCATTCCTTTATCTTGGCTACTTTCTCCAATTTATTTTCCCTGGTAAATTTTAGAAACATTTTTGGCGTAGCATGAAAAGGAAAAATTTTACTGGGATTTTGATTGGAGTTGCACTAAAACTATAAATGCACTAAAACTATAAAAATACTTGAAGATCCACATCTTTAAGGTATTTGATCTTTAGGAGAATAGCATGTCTCTACACTTGTTAATCATTATGTCTCTGTTTTTGCTTTTAAGCAAAATTTTTTCCATATCAATAATTTTTAAATGTTTTTAATATAACCAAAATCTAAATTTTAAGATGATATAGTTGGATCTAAAAAATGCACCTATGTTTTTAAAACCATTATCAATGTATTGTTTCTCCCACCTAAGTAAATATTTATTCTCCTTTTATTTTTTACATAAGCTTTATAAAGATTGTGATTCTGGAGAACCTTGATGATATATGGGAGCTCAATAGAAAAGTATTAATTTTATTTATTATTATGCCAGTACATTTCAAGGAAAGATGAAGATGATTAAAGTTCTCATAAAATGTTTTGAGTTCTCTCTGATATGTTCCAGTACCTAAAAGTAACTATTTTTATTTAGTCATAGGTGAACCATACTCCCCCTTGTTTTACTCATTCTCAAAAACAACAGCTATTAATAGAAATCTGCCTGCATCAGTCCTCTGTAATGATAGTTATCTTCCTTCACTAAGAATAATGCAACTTTGAGTGACCTTGTACTGTACTGCTCAAAAAGGATTGCAGCTGCTAAGCAACGAGAGCCTTCATCAGACTTCATGAGATCAGGAGGACTAAGTATGACTCACTCTCGGGTGAGGGTGTCATGAACTCACTGGAAACCAGATTTGTGTGTGTGAGTGTGTGTGCATGCGCACAATGTAAGTCACTAATATTATAGCCTAGAGGAATTCCCAATCCATTCGATCCAAGAGGGATCAGCATTTGTGGGGCTTAACTTCATACTATCATAAGGAAGGCAGGATCCTTTGTTGGATACCAAATCAGTTGCCATGGAGTCAATTCTGACTCCAATTCCATGTCAGAGTAGAACTGTGCTCCATAGGGTTTTCAATGGCTAATATTTGAACGTAGATTACCAGGTCTTTCTTCCGAGGTACCTCTGGGCAAACTCGAACCTCCAACCTTTTTAACCATTTGCACCACCCAGGAGCTCCACAGCTACTTTAATTTAAAAATCTCAAGACCACTACCAAAGTGGATAGCTATTTTCAAAAGATAAAGTGGCATATTTGCAAAGATCAGTCTGGAATTCTGTGCCTTCCTCAGAAACACGGGGCAGTTTTTTAAACCTGTCACAGAATGGCTGCTCCATGAGAAGCTAAAGAATAGAATCCCCCAACATATTAACACAACTGGAATATTTATTGCTCTGAAATAACTCTGAAGAAAATTCTTGCTGCTACAGCCGAGTGATTGCCTAAGTTTTAGATATCATGTCCCAGTTTTTTGTTGCCTTTTTTTTTTTCTTTTTTAATAGGGAGAAACTGTCATAGGAATTTCAGTTAGGGATGCAACCAAGCGGTAGGGGCTGAGGGTTAACTAAACACATACTCTGCTGGCACCAGGCACCATCATTTCATCAAAGGAGGAAGTTTTTTAACACTCACATTTTATAAAGGACATAATCTAAGGAAAATATTCAATCCTTTACATTGACCAGTTTTAGTTTTCCTTAAATTCTTGTCAAAAGCCAGCACTGGTCTAGGAAGAGCATTTGGAAACCACCACTGAAGCTAGAGGATTTGGGACATGGACCAGTTGATTATGAAAACCTCAATGCTGATGGCAACAACGATATATAGAGCACAGGACTGACTATGCCCCTGTGCAGTGAAGGATCCATGTTCTCATCAGCTCGACCAAGAACTGAATCTCTACCTTAGAGAGTCATATTACCCTCTGATAAAGTTGATGAGAAGGAGCCCTGGTGGTGCAGTCATTAAGCACTGTGCAGCTAACCAAAAGGTTGGTGGTTTGAACCCACCACCTGCTCCATGGGAGAAAGATATGGCAGTCAGCTTCCATCAAGATTACAATCTTGGAAACCCTATGAGACAGTTCTACTCAGTCCTTACAAGTCAGAATCATCTAGACAGCAACAGGTTTAATGTTGATCAAGGAGTTCTTGGGTAGTGCAAATGCCAACACACTCAACTGCTAACCAAAAGGTTGGAGGTTCAAGTCTTCTACCCACAGGCACCTTGGAAGAAAGTCCTGGCACTCTAATTCCAAAAATCAAACAGTGAAAACTCTATGGAGCACAGCCCTACTCTGACACACGTGAGATTGCCATGAGTTGTAATCGACTCAACGACAGCTGATTAATGTTGATCAGTGCAGAAAATACAAAGTGTGACTGTGTGTGTGTGGATTTGTAGGGTATTTAGGGAGGAGGAAGAGTGAGCCTGCATTTCAGCACCTACCACTACTGTCTCTGGGGGGGGGGGCCACTGGATAGACTGTGTTTGAATGGATTATAGCTAAGATGCGGGGGCGGGGGGCAGGCATTAAATCCACTGTATGAAATAATTGCTGTGTTGATTTTGTGACTAGCTCTATCTGCCTGCATTACAGCATTATAGCTTCCTCTGCTAAGAAAGGTTCATATAAAGAAAGAGACATACCCAAACCAAATTCTCTCAACTGGGTACTAAACCAGAAATGCTTAACCAACTCACAGAAGTATTTTATATCGGCACTGCTAGGGACTTGGAGAGCTTTCATTTGACAAACAGGAAAACAGGTCCAAAGAAGTGAGTTTACCCAGGTCCAAAGAAGTGAATTTACCCAAGATTACAAGGCTAGTTTGTGGTTAGACCAGCAGTACAACTTAAGTTAATGCAATTTCCACTCCAGATCAATCAATGTGACTAACTGCTGTTGTCACTGCACTGGCCAGTGTCTATCCCAATGTTGAAATTTGCAAAAAAAGATAAATTAGTAAAAGGTCTGATTACATGTAATATCCGTTTGACCATCAAATTCTCTTACCCACTGCCTTCTGACTCATAGCGACCCTATAGGACAGAGTAGAACTGCCCCATACAGTTTCTAAGGAGTGGCTGGTGGATTTGAACTGCTGACCTTATAAAATATATTTTCATTTATAAAATGTTACCAAATATAGGTTTAAATCATGCATTTCTCATATACTGTGAAGTTG